ACTAAAATGAGCAAAACTAAAATCGGGTGAGGAAAAATTATAACAAAAAGAGGAAAAATCATCTCTTCCTCTTACATTTTCAAGAGTCAAGATAGTACCTATTGAATCTTATATATTCTTTCCAATTACGGGTGAAGCATTAAATTCTTAATTCCTCCAAAATTCGTCACATTTCAAACAAAAGATACTTCTTTTTTTTCCAATCAAACACCACCAAAATTAGAACTTTTCATTACTAAATCAAACATAAATCACACATCACAATTGGAACCAATAGATGCAAAAATCTATATAGTATTGTGTCAATCTCACTCTCAAATCAAAGCGAAGACACACAAAAGTTGGTTTCTAAATATTCTTCTCATATTGTGGGAAGGAAGGAGTAGAACAAACTTAGCAACTCTCCATCTACACCCAGGGTGGAATATAAGATAAATTAGCAAGCTGCAAACCAACATGGAAAGAATAACAAACTTCACCAAGCATGATAAAGAAAATGGGACAGAAAATAAAGATATTCTAAAATAGAGGTCACATCAATAACTTATGATGCAATTGTTAAAAGCCTGAACTTTAAAGATAAATTATTACAAGCAGAGGAATCCACTTCCAAGAATTGTATCTAGATATTGGGTACAAGCTGAAAAACTTGTCAAGAATATGCACCTTCAGGTATTGAAGCAGTTTCAGCTGCAACCCTTGAAGTCTCTCTTGAGGGATTGAGTCGTTGCCTGTCCTCAAACCAAGTTTGAATCTAAAAACAAGTAATATGAGTGATACAAGTATTCAAGCAAGATAGAGAATTCAAGTTATGATGGAATTAGTTAATCGAAAGCAGAAGACAAAAACCTCAGTCCACTTCACAACAGGTTTTCCAGCACGACCACTGGAACGACTGCAAACATAAAAAATGGAACGCCACAAAAATATTTACTAAAGCAAGAACTAATGCTCTAAACAAATACGTAATTCACACATGAGATGCTCACTTGAAAAGCCTTGCCAGATTCTTATAAAACTCCTCATTCAAAGATTGTTCGCTAGATTCTTTATGTAAATACTCCATTTTCTCAACCTGTTCGGTTGATAACAAAAGATAAGTTCCCCCAATCGTCCAAATTTTGTACAATATTGCAAATAGCCCAATTTGACATAAAATTTCTCAATAACAAATTGTGGATGATATCAAGTAATGGAGCAATTCAAGTGTTTAAACTCGTTCAATTACAATTAACAATTTCAACTTTCACGACTGCCACGGAAGAATTCAGAAACACAGCTGATAAAGATATGAGAACTAACTGAAACAATCCTAATTAAGAACTTTTCTTTTCGATTGTTGAGAACAAAAAAAAAAAGAGGAATAAATCGTTGATGTGTGAAGAATTCACCAGCACACGATTCAAACGGCAAAAAATCTACATAATTAATTCTGATGGCTGAGGCTGATGAGCTAATCTTTTATTTTTATTATCAGAAAAATTGGTTACCAATCACAAGCAACTTACTGGATCATTAATATACTAATACCAAAACTCAACGCAAATATAACTAGAAAGATCCAAAAAATCTCAAAAATAAATAAATAAACTTACACCTTTAATCTTAATATCCCATAACTTAATAATACCAAACTTTTTCAACATGTGAAAATATACCATTGTTAACGAATGATTAACCACACAAGCTTGCACAAAATACATGAGTATACATCACTTGAAACGTATGCACCCACCCGAACCGCACTGAAGAAAAATCATTTCAATTTATCGAAGAACCAGTAAAATAAACGCATAAAATGGCTATTAATTAGTTAAAATAGCTTATAAGTTGAACGATCAAGGAAGTTGGATGTTAAAAAGAGGAATTAAAATAATAAACAAAAAAGGCAAGAAAGAAGAAGAAGAAAATATACCTCAGCTAGAGTGAAGCCAGAAAAGGATTGTCTCTGTCTTGGCCAAAGATCCATTTAATGCTCAATTATGTAGTCTAAAGCCTCAGTTTTGCGAACTGGTTTTATATAGAGAGAGATTCCTTTAAGCGCCTTTTCAACCTTCAAACTTGTACTTCAATCTCCAGTTTGAATTGATGAAGAAAGCTACGCTGCTTACAAACCCTAAAAAACACCAACAATTGGAACCAATAGATGCAAAACCAAAATCCATACCATCAACTAGATGCAAAATCAAATAAATTCCATAACAATTGGAACAAAAAACCAAACAAATTTCAAATTCCAAACTCTTCGGTTTCTCAAATTGCACCAATCAATGTACAATTAATACACCCAAAAAGACAGCAAGATAGAGGGAGATTGATGTGAGAAATTGTGAGTTTTATGATTTTGTTTTGTTCTGGGAAAATTGAGAAGAGAGAAGCCGGCGGGCCTTTGTTGCCTCACCTCAGGTCCGACCATGTCGCCGGCGTTGAGAATAGAGAAGAGAGAAGCCGGTGGAGGCAAGAGAGAAGAAGAGATGTGACTTTGAGTTAAGGAGACAAGCCAGGGACAAGCTCAAAAACGGTGTTTCGCGTGTTTTCCAATTTTACTGTGTAAAACACTGAAAACGTCCAAAACGAGATTTTTCTTGTTTTGGCTTTTTAGTACAAATTTTTTTTTTTTTTCGAAAATGCGTATTTGAAAATAGGAAAGAGAACGCATTTTCACTACTTTGAAAAGTTGAAAATAGAAAACGACCCCGAAAACGGTAAAGAGAACATGGCCTAATTGATTAATTGTCAATATCATCCATGTCAAATCATCGAGAAAATTAAAAATGTAGAACATACCTTAATTCTTTGGGAATGATTCTTCATTCCGGATTTTGAATCTTGAAAATTGACTCTTTTGATTCTTGAGTTTTTTATTTTGATTTTGGCTAATTGCTCAATAATCTTGATTGTCTTGTTCTTCAATTTAATTGCTCTAATAATTTTTCTGGATTCTTGACTATGAGTTTTTGGTTCTTCCTATTCAATATAATTTATCTTGTATTCTTGTGTTGATGGGAAGGCACAGAAAATGAGAATCACACATGAATTGAGGATCATAACCATTTTTATAGTTTCTATACGTATTTAGCTTATCGTCAAATACAATCCTAATGGATCCGATTTCTACACATATAATCCGGCCCATACTTTATTTAGATGCCATATACTCAACAATTTAATTCTTTATTAGATCAATTTAATTTGGCTCAATTTAAAAAAAGTCTTATGTTCAATTAATTACATATGTAAGTCAACATGACAAATTAATAAACCAACAATCTCCCACTTGGACAACATATGTTTACCTTATAAATGTTTATAACCTTATAACATCAAAACTTTTGCTATCATAACCAAAAGTATTTCCGAACAATCTTGCTCATTAATTACATCAATATAGGATCAAAGTATGTTCGTTACAAATATTATAATTAAACCATCAATGGTCACGTATATCAACATGATCAAATGATACAGATCAAGTGTGAATGTGTAGTATAAAAATTACATGTAATATGATCCAAACATGCCTAACAACTAGTCTTATCTTATTCTTTAATGAGATCAATCATAAACTTTAATCAGAGTGGAACTGAAATAAATACTTTATTTTTGAAATAAATCGAATATTCATGAATAAAAATGTGTCTAAAACAAACAACATCCAAATACAAACTCTCATTAAACTGGCATATCATCAAAAGATGCAATACCATGTGAGTATTATGCTCATAAAAGATCTTGGGTGGTATCCATTTAGTAAATTGATCCATGATTATGGAATTTATCCTAATATGCTTTACAGAAACATAACCACACTTAAATATGTTTTCTTAGGTTATGGTGAAAATGTTAAATGCTATAGACTATGGGTTAAAAATAAAAAAGGTTATAGGGTGATTGTGAAAATAGATGTTATTTTCATTAAGGGCCTGTTTGGTATGGATTTTAATTTTGTACAGTAAATCAATTCTCATTTTCAACCACACATTTTTCAATAAAATAATATTTTTCATCACATCAATAATTTTTTTTTCTTTTTCAACCACACATTTCTCATCATATCACTATTCAAAAAGCAATTCTTCCCCAAAAAATCTCTACCAAACAGGCTCTAAGTCTATTATGCCATGTTTGGAAGAGAAAGAAAATAATTTGACAGAAAAAGATATTCAAATTGAGGTAGAGTCTTCTTTAAATGAAAAGGAAATATTTGTACTTGCTGCTGATGAATCTGATCTTGATGAAAATGATACTTCTATTGAAAATGATAATAATCCTGAAATTGAAGACCAACCAGATTTTGCTTCTCTACCTCTTGATGAATACCAACTCGCAAGAGATAGAGAAATGAGACAAATCAGACCTCCTACAAGGTTTAATTGTGATGATTTTGTTTCATTATTTACTTATCAATATCAATTTGAAAATGAACCTAACTTCTATGATAATGCCATTAACTATAAAGATTCTAAACATTGGAAAGTTGCTATGGAAGATGAAATGAGTTCTCTTCTTAAAAATAAGACCTGGAAACTGGTTAAGAGACCTTAAAATCAAAAGTTAATTGATTATAAGTGGATTTATAAGATAAAAGAAGGTGAAGTGGGAATAAAAATATTAGATATAAAGCTAATCTTATAGCTAAAGAGTTTACACAAAAAGAAAGTGTTGACTATACTGAAATTTTTTCTCCTGTAGTTAAATATACCACTATTAGGTGCATTCTTGCCCTTGTTATTCAATTCAGATAGGAACTTGATCAATTAGATGTTAAGACTGCTTTTCTCTATGGTGATCTAGATGAAAGAATCTATATAAAGCAACCTGCTGGTTTTATTAAATGTGAGTCGGAAAATATTGTGTGTTTATTAAATAAATCACTTTACGGTCTGAAACAAGCCCGAGGCAATGGTATAAAAAGTTTGATACCTTTGTTTTGAAACATGGTTTCCAAAGAAGTAATTATGATATTTGCCTCTACAATAAAGGTAAAGGAGGTAAAAATTCCTTGTACTTAGTACTTAGCGTTGATGATATGTTACTTGCAAGTTGTAATAAATCTAAAATTGATGATATCAAACGGAAGTTGAAATTTGAATTTGATATGAATGATCTTGGTTCAGCCAAGAAGATCATTGGTATGCAGATTTTAAGAAATAAAGATAAGAACATGTTATTTTTGTATCAACATGATTATTTGCTTAAATTTTTGAAAAAGTTTAATATGTTTGACTGTAAACGTGTTACTTTGACTCTCTCAAATCATTTTAAACTTTCATCTGAGTTAATGTATGTCTAAAATTCCATATGCAAATGTTAATGGATCTATCATATATCTAATGGTAAGTACAAGACCAGACATTGCTCATTGTATTAGTTTACTTAGTAGATTTATGAGTAATCAAGGTGAATAACACTGGATATTCCATATGCAAATGTAATTGGATATGTCATGTATCTAATGGTATGTACAAGACTTGACATAACTCATAGTATTAGTATACTTAGTAGGTTTATGAGTAATCCAGGAGAAGAACATTGGAATACATTAAAATGGCTTTTAAGATACTTGAAAGTTAATTTAAATTTAGGTTTTGTGTTTAAAATGAATAAAAGGGGATTACTTTGAAGGGTTTACTGATTCTGATTTGCCGAAGATAGAGATAATAGAAAGTTTATCTCTGACTTATTATTTTACTCTATGTGATATTGCTATAAGCTGGAAATCTCAATTGCAAAAGGTAGTAAATATATCCTCAACTAAAGCAGAATACATTGTTGCTTCTAATGCTATTAAAGAAGGCATTTGGTTAAGTAGATTGTTGAATGAACTTGGCTTTGTTGATGAAAACGTAACTTTATATTCTGATAACCAAAGTGCCATACATTTAAACAAAAATCTCATATTTCATGATAGGACTAAGCATATAGACATTAAATATCACTTTATTAGAAACATTATATCTAAAGGAATTCTTAAGATTGGTAAAATTTATATCCAGTTTAACCTCTTGGATATGGGAACAAAGATAATACATTTAAACAAGTTTTTTAACTATTTGAAGTTGTTATCTATTGACACATTGTAATGTTTTTCATAAGTACTTGGAGCAAATTAAAAATAACTGATGATGTATTATCTTGGCTGCACTGTTGCCAAAATCGCTGGAAACAAGGTAGAGATTGTTGTGTTTCGAACCCTGGACTTATTATAAAGAAAGTGTGCTTCCAAAATTTTAATGTGGTAATAACGTGTTTTCAAAATAACACTTTACTGAATGGAAGCTATTTGTTGGATTGTTGACACCTGGCATCTTGATTATCGTTAGATCACATTCTAGAGACTTCTGATTTATATCTTCCAAGTGATGCTTTGTTTGGTAATTGATTCATTTTCTGGGTTCATTCGTTCTTTTGTCCTTTAGATAGAAAAGACCTCATTCTTCATTAGGGTTTCACATTCTCGAGTAATTAGAGTATGTGGATATTAGAATCTCTTAGATATACTCCTGATTGTAGTGAAGTTGGTGACAGAACTGAGTGCTCTGTCGTGATTCTTAGCTAGAGGGTGTGTTCGATCCAAAGTCTTTTGTAAAGATAAGTCTTTGTGGCTTCATCTTGTATTTTTGAACTGATTGTAATTTTTTGCTGCCATATTTTTGGCTGCTAGCGCAACCGAGCAGATATCCATTATTTGGATGCTCAATGGGGGAGGTAGGCGTTAGATGTGGTTGCCGAACCTCCCGGACTTGGACTGAAATAATTCCTTTATTTTCTGATCGATTGATGATGGTGAAATCTTGTTTTAATATAGTGTGTTGTGGGCCTTTTCAACAGTAAATACTGAAAAGTAGTTCTGAGTGCTTAGGTAAGATTCTTTATCACTACAACAAAAACAGCCTAAACGTTGCCGTAGACATTTTGCAACGTTTGGACGTATGTTTCAAATCGAGGTGTTGCCTAAAGTAGAAAGAT